TTACACCGTATCTACCGACGTACCGATGCCGTGCTTTTTATGATTGTAGCAATGACACGTGGCCAGGTAAATGTACAGTCACACTTAGTGCTAAAGAGTAAAGAATTAAAAGGTGTGAGTAGTACATGACTTTTTACTGTTACGTGTACGTGTCTACACAATCACACAGTCATGACTCATGACTCATGTGCCGGTACAATGACTATGGTCGCACCTCATCATGACAATCATGGTGACTGTAATCTGTAAAGTATTATAATACTAAACTAAAGACTAAAGACTAAAGGACCTTAGAAGAAGGTACTCTACTACTACTACTAGTACTAGTATGCCAAACCAAGGCGGCTGCTCACTGGCATGGGCGCTGAGTGGGTTCAAGTGATGACCTCGAGCTAAAAATGAGAACGCGTGGGATATCCAACCCCCAATGGCCTAGCCCCACGTAGACCATAGACCTAGGTAGCTAGCTAGGATGTGACGACTGACGGCCCGGGCCAAGACTAGCGCAGTAGCGGGCCAAGCTAGCTAGGCTTCGTAGATCTACGTGTAGTTCAGTGCACATGTGTATTACTATTACTAGTATTAGTATCTGATAAAACCCATGCAAACAGTGTCATTTTTGTTTAGTTCGTTCATACGCCTATCTCTGCAAGGTCAGTCATTTTTGCTGTGAGCGAGACGAACGTCAGTCAGTCGTTGTTGTCGTTATCGGGTGTTCAGTAGTTCACTTTTTCAGTTGCTGTATCTTCCAGACGCTTGCTGTCCAGATGAACAAAGTTACCAGTGATCATTCTTGCAAGAAGAACTGAGTGTTGGGTATTTCAAGTCAGTTCAAGAATCACTTTAGCGGTTTCGGCTGTGATCATCGATTCGAATTGACTCTGCGTTTCCTGATGCCTCGGATATATGATGGCGGTCATGGAAGAAATCAGATCCAGGCTTGCATTCCCCTCAGTCTCCATTCAAACGTCGGCTATTGGTCGTCTAGAAAGTCTTATCAGCGACACAGCTGCGATTGATTCAGCGTCGCAACTCACACCGGAACTGCAGCTTCTCCTGGACAGCTGTGGGCACGAGGGTGTGGCTGTTGTGTCAGAATGCTGCGATGTACTGCTGCGACGTGTGCGCTGCGGCCAATGGTCAGCACAGATTGTTACACAGCGGCTGCTTAGTAGTCTCTCCTCTGCCAGATGTACATGGATCATCACTGGCAGCATTTTGAGTCTGTTGGTGGAGTCTAAGGAAAACAATTTCTGGTCGGCACTCAACAGCTCATCCAAGTCCAACAGCGGCCATGGCTCACATCCACTGGTGTCCGCATTCAGGTACTCCCCAAGTGCCAGAGTGGCGGTGGTGCATGCACTGCGTCACCTTCTCTCCACGGTACACAGCAGTGCGGCTACTACCCACACGCAGCAGCAAAGACTGTGGAGCATTGCCGAGCCCGTCGTCCACTTCATTCTCTATGACAACATGGGCTATGAGTATCGTGAGAGGCTGGTGGAGATTCTGGTCGAGAGCGCTCTTGAGTCCATGCAAGCCAACATGGACGACGTGGTACCGAGTGAAAAGAGTGTAAATGGCGTTCCGTCGCATGAGAACGGTAAGCAGCAGCAGCGTGATGGAAGCAGCTATGTGTGTAACGTTGTCAAACTGCTCATTGACTGGCTGTGTAGTAGGAATATGTCAAGGTTTGAATCCAGTATGAGCGCTCTGCAATGCTATCGCAGAGTCAGGAAGCTAGTGTGGTTGTCAGTCTTCGCCACTGCAATTGAGGAGTCGTATAAGTTATCCATGTACCACATTGCTGCGTCATGGCTTGTGGACATGGCGGCGGCTAACAATCAACCTCTTGACGTCATGCTGAAGGAGATAGAGTCCATTGATGCATCTGCGACCACTGCCGTTGTGTTTGTACCAAGTCTGTACGTGGTGTTGACATGCCAGCCAACTCTCTTCGCCACCATCATTCTAAATCTACTATTGAAGTTTCTACCGTTCATGAGCAGTGCCGCCGATCAGTCGCTGGGTGCTTTGCCCTTGTACTGTACTAATATTACTACTACTACTATTACATCATCTACTCCATCGTCATCCGCAGCTGCGTTGCTTCTCAAGTGTCAAACTGCTATACAGAATAGCCTGGTGTTGGCTGGTGGTAGTCATATTAATACTACTGCAGGTGGCGGCGCTGCTCATAGCCTGAATGGCGCAGACGCCATCGCCACAGAGTCAGTTCAAGTCCCGTTCGTCAGCTCACTGGCACAGTACATCCGCTCTGCAGCCCGCCTGCCGCTCCTGTTTCAACGCGAACCCGAGCTGTGTAAGCTATGGTTTGATCATATGAAGTCAGAGTTGAAGAAGATTAATCCGCAGGCTGCTCTGGACACGCCGTCCCTGTACAAGTTTTCCATGGTAGCAATGGTGGTCAGCTCCGTCCTGGTCTCTGGGTGGTCGTGCAGAGAGCTACGCTTAGCGTCCGTGTTGGCTATGCAGAGCCTGGCAGTGGCGTGCCCTCCGCTGTCACATGACCTGCTGAAGATGCTGTTACACTGTTTCAACGTCAGCACTATGGAAGCGGACGTGCAGCTAGCTATTCTACACGCTCTGCCTGAGATGGTCACACACAACGTCATGCTATCACCAGTGGTTGCCACCATAACAGGGCTGATGGCACAAGCATCACTACAGCCGCTGTCGCTGCGTCTCGTGTGCAAAATTTGGCAGAAGATGGATCGTCTCTTTCCGCAGTTGCTGAAGGTTCTGACGGTGTGCGCCGAACACATGACGTCATCGTCGGAGATGCTGATGTCATGCTCTGCAACAGTTCTTGACATCGCTCAGACGCGGTCATCTCAACACGCTAATGACGTCATGCCCATCATCCGTAGACTGCTTTCGGCTCCAGTGAGATTGGATGTGCGTGGAGAGGTGATCGCAATGGCCACTCGCAGTCTTCACTTGATGATATTGAACGAGGTGGTCGAGTTCAAAGCGGTGTGGACTACATTAGGTCAAGAGCTCAGCATGCAAACCAGGGAGCTGGCACAAGCTGCCGTTTGCAGACTGATGGGGTCCATGGCTGAGTTGCAAGGAGAACAGTTGCCAAGTCGCCAAGACGAGGCACTGTATCATGAGCTCATTTCCAGTTTATTCAAGAGGATCTTCTCACAGCCTGCGAGCAGCACCACCGTCATCTCAGCAGCGTACGAGGCGCTGTCCTGCTTTCCCGTGGAGTGTTTCCAAGCGTCAATGCTGCCCCCTGCACACATCCAAGCCTTACTGGACACTGGGCTACTGAAACCTGCCAGCAGCCAAGACGCGGCCGCCGCACATGATTCCACCGTGTCCTCTACAAAAGCCCGCAGCAATGGCAGCGGTTGCAAGACGGCATCGAATGGAGCAGCTTCTCCATGGCCTGCTCCTCCGTCACAGGATCAGTTCGGTGCTCAGCCCATTCCAGCCGATGCACTCTCAGCGCTAATGGTCTGCAACGTTGGAGCTACAGACGGTCACGCTAAGTTCCTTGCTCACTTGCTGCAACATGAACTGAAGACACAGTCACGTTGTCCAGCCTCCAATGATCGCCGCCGTCCTACCAACAACAACAACACCAACAACAGCAGCAGTACCCTGAAACGTGTTGATGCTCGACTAGTGCGTGTTCTCGGCAACGTGCCGAAATCATTGCTGAAGCTGTACGAATCCTGCAAGTCACCGGCATCGCTACCAAGCCTGGCAGCTGGTTTGCTGTCCTGTCATCAGCCTAGTTCTATAGCCAGTAAGGCCAGTCGTAACGCGACCACCGACCGTCACCTCATCCTACTGCAGAATCTCCTCTCTCAGATTGCACCGCCTGCTCCCAATGCTGGTACTATGGATATCCTGGGTCTGGCTGAGAAATGGTGTGCATTCCTGCGTCGTCTCTTTGCACACCTGATCCAGGTGAACCACACTGACGAGGAGAGCCTCGTCAACAAGCTTCAGGCATTTTCTGGGGCACGTGACAAGATATTTGATGTGTTACAGAAGGCGTCCAGGCTGGGTACGAACAGTCTCTTCAACAGCACCCTGGCACTGACCCAGTTGTACCGCGTGACTTGTGATTTCTGTAACACTGATCTTCCAGTATCAATCTATCCACGCCTCCGGAGCTGGAAAGCCAAGATGATAGCGACGATGATGAACATGGCGTCGGACAAGGTGATGTGTGCTGGAGGTGTCTTTGCCAACGAGCAGATCTTCAGCTGGGGAACACAGGGACAGGTGAGCAAAGGCAAACACGGTGCCCTCTGCCTGAGTGCACTGTTTCTTGGTGTGACCTCTCTATGCCATACACTGGTGGGAAGAGACTGGCCAGTACTGAAGATGATCACTGATACGCTGTCACAACACTGTGCTAAACTACCTGGCGCTGGCACACACCAAATGATAGCCGCCCTTGACTACGGTTATAATCGTCTCTTGCACCTGGTCCTGCCCTTCTCTATGGGTACACTCTTCTCGGCTATGGTCACAACGCGTGTTTGGGTCGTGGAAGGAGTGCGCGGTATGAAGTTGTTCGAGGAAGCTCGGGAGCAGTATTTATCAGCATTCGCTGCACACAGGGATGGCGCTACGCTTGTTGCCGGCCAAGTTGTCACCGATCTCTTGAAGAACACTCAAAACAAAGAGTTGACGTTCGACAAGGGTCTCACCATCTGCTCCATGCTGTTATCACGTGCCGAAGGTCTTTTCGACGCGGAAAAGTCGAAGACTGAATTGTCAAGATTCGCCAAGGAGGCTTCCCTGTACTCCTGGTCAGTGTGCTACGCATACCTGGTATCGCATGCACTGGACAAGCTCACTGAGAGAGATCAGATGCTGGCCAATACTCTGCTGGTAGCTGATAGTGGTGCCATTACTTCGCCACTGGTGTCCAAGTCACGCATGCTGTGTTTGATGGCACTGTCCTTGCTTGGAGAGAAGACGTCACAGTCCGTTCTATCCAATACATATGACCAGCTGAAAGACACTCTACGTAGTGCTGGTAATCTCTCTGCTGGCAGCGGTCTCCTGCAATCTTGGGAATGTCAAGTTGCCAGTATGCAAGTATTACTTGGAGAGAATCATCTCATGTGGCGAGAAGAGAAAAAACTGCACATCAAAGCATGCCCGGTACCTGCATATGATCTGGTGAAGGGCTTGGACACGGCGAGACACAGCGCCGACACATCTTTCTCATCCATCGCGGTGCAAGCTGTTGGTGAAGTATGGTATCAGCTATACGAAGAGAACTCACTACAGGCCTTGCACAATCCTGATGAAGAGTCCATGGCGGTTCGGTCGAAGTCGAACGTCCAATCTGTTCTGCAACAAATTGTTGCTCAGCTTTCAGCCCTCACAAGTCAAGTAACCATTCCTACTCGTACAGGTGATGGCGTTGTCAACACAATGCTCTGGCCGTGTATTCATACACTGCTACGATCGCTGTGCCAAGCCGTGGAAATCCCACCCACATTCGAATGGTCATCGGTCATGATCAAACTGCTAAGAATGTCGTCCGCTCCTGGAGATGTTCATAGCGAGTGCCTGACAATACTGTTGAAGAGCTACGCTAAAGAATACGACAGCACCATGCTGGTCAACCTGATCACCGACGGAACGTTTCTCAAGTTTTCTTTGGATAATCAGAAGCTTCTCCTGTCCAGGCTATACAGCGGGAAGTTACCGAGTGTAGAATTAAAGTGCCTGTGTGCATCGCTCGGACAGTTATTTGCTGACAGGGAGAAACACCAGTGTGCGGCCTTCCTGCCCGAAGCCATCGCGAACGTCTGGAGCTCGTGTCGCGATCACACCGACCACGGCGAGATCGTCTGGGAAGATCTTCTCTGTCCTGTGGTGACGCAATGGATCAACTCTAACGAGAGCAAGGTTAGTGCTGTGAAGTTTGTGTATTGTTGCATGTCAGTTGTGAATGATTAGGTTACATGAAGGTTAACACACCGGTGTTAAATAGACTACTACTAGTACAAGTAGTTCTGTATTACAATGATGTTATTAATTTGTGTTGTATTACGCATACTCTTAGTCTTACTTTGTAGCTGATTGCAGGAGTGTGTAACAGTTACGGCCAAACTCTCCGCCTAGTTCTAGTTCCCTAGCTTCTGTAAGGATTCTCAATTTCTCATCACAAACCCCATTCTAGCTTCGAAGGGAATTCTATTCCAGTGCATTATTTTGTTCTCAAACAAATTCTTTATAGTATTTGCAGTAGTCATGCACTCTATTATTTGTTTGTCTCGTACGTGACTTTCCTTTCTCTCCTTCTCAAGGCTGCCGGATGGGACAGAGTATGTAGTCGCAGTTGAGTAACACAGTAAACAAACAAACGAGTTGTAGATTTTTTAAAGAGAGAGAGAGAGAATATTTACAACGGCTTGGAATGTGGAAATTGGGTGTGCACCACCACTGGCTGTTACTTTGATTGTCACAGCACAAATCACTCCACTAACGTCACTGCAGCCGTCACATACATGTACGTGATGTGTTGCTAGACCTAGTCATTAGATGCTCATGCATAATTTATGCAAGTGTCTCCTCTCCCATACACCGACGGCTGTATGCACGAGCTCTCCATTATGGGGGGCAATAGATGGTGTTTGGACAACTAATGACGTAATACGTCTCTTCTGGCTCCGTGCACATGCGCATGTGTGTGTGTGTGTGTGTGTGTGTGTGTGTGTGTGTGTGTGTGCATGTGTATGTGTGTGTGTGTGTGTGTGTGTGTGTGTGTGGGTGTGTGTGTGGGTGTGTTCTCTATGCAATTCTCAGGTTCTCTCTGATCTGATCTACTTGTCACCAAGCCTGATGAGGGCATATAGCCAGGAGGCCGCCAGCAAAGCTAATCATCACCAGTCTGAGGTGTTGACGTTGCGCATGTTTGCGTTCAGAATGCTTGAAGCCATGCACTCAGACAATGGCGTTGGACCGTTGCTCATGGCGGTGGAAACTGTAGTGGATAACTGCCCGGATGATCAAATAGTGGACATGATCATGTTGCTAAGCAGCCTAGCGTGTCACAGGCAAACATCCGCATTCTCTACTTCGCTACTGCAAGTGTTGGAACGCTTGAGCTCTTCAAAGCGATCGACAACACATTTGATTGCTGATATGATCATATCCTGCTGCTCATCTCTCCTTCAAGCTGTCAACAGCGGTAACACTATCACCGCTACCCTCACCTCTAGCAGCAGTAGCAGCAGTGGCAAGACTTTATCACCGGCATCTAATCTGCACGCTGACCACACTGACCACCACCAGCAGCAGCAGCAGCAGCCCCCTCTGGATAGCTTACTCCACAACATGTTACTAGCGTCCGGTGGTGACGAGCAATTTCTTCTATCCGCATCTAGACTAGACCAGCATGCCACAAGGTTCTGGCTCGCCGATTGGTTTATGCGCACTGGCTGTGAATGTCTGCCCAGTTCACTGACTTCACTGGCTGCTGTTCCGGCCATGTCTGTGTTTCTGAAGGCGTTTGGCCATGTGCTGGGTGCACTGGAGACAGCGGTTAGCGAGCTCAACCGTGATGCTATTTGTCTGTCCAGTCTCCGTGATTGTCGCAGAGCACTTGCTGCAAACATACCGTCCAATACTTGAACATTTCGTTTTTCACGGCTGAGCGGAGCGTAAGAGTGCAAAAAAGGTATTTTTCACTCAGATATTTTCATGTGTTTGTTCTGCGCAACTCCGTTGAACCTGCCATCGTGGTCTTTGTTTTTCCTCGTGGTAGTTGAAGTTGCCCGCCCACCCACCCTGGTGTCATCGGGGTCTTCCACTGTTTTTCTTGATATTCTATGCCGATATGTGTGGCTTATGATTATAACATACAATTACATACAATTTCTTGTTCTCTATTCTTGAGTCTGACTGGCAGCGGGGCAGGAATTAATAAATTAGAAAGGTTTTTTTGGCCGAAAGGCGTGTTTTTCCTCTAGCCCGGTTGAGCGGTCGCGGCTAGGAATGTAGGGAGTCATTGTTTTCAGGCGCTCCCCTGCTGCCCAGTCACCCATGCCGTGTTCACTTGATTTTGCGATCTTTTCTGAGTTTTCACCCGCTTGCTGGCGGTTCTTTGATTGATGATTTAGATGTTTTGGGCTATTTATTTTTTTGCTTCTACTCATTTCTGGAAAACCACTACGGTGGTGAGTGTGATTGCTCTGGTAGACCACTACCCCACGTACTGAACAGTTGCTTTGTGAGTGAAAAAGACAGATTCTCAATATCACCAGTATGAAGAAAGAAGATGAGCGACAGAAAGCTGCCAGCATGCCCATACATATTTAATAATCAAGAGATTATATTCACGAAGCACAGATATAGACCTGCGCATTGTTCAGCTATTACCAGTCAGTCATCACTTTGTCATAATAGTATTTTGATTAGGCCATGGTAAAACAAATAAAGTTGATTCTCAGGTCATGAGCCTGTGAAAATCGGTGCGAGCGAGCCATTTTTTTTTATTTCCCACCATTTTTTATTTCCAAAGATAGGGTCACACATACATGTATGTACATGGTCATAATTATTCAGGCCAGGGAGTTGAAAAATACCGGTACTCAGGCGCGTGCTCGGCGATGGGCACGGGGGGCACGTGCACCCCCCAAAAATTTTCAATCTGGGTAATTGCAATTGTAATGTATGCAAATATGCTCTAAAATTCAAGAAAGGTTGCAAACAAATTGCAGAAAATTGCCGGGGGGGCTCCCCTCGGCTCCCGTGCACCCCCCTAGTTGGGGGGCCGAGCACGCCCCTGGGTACTAGTATTCTCCCTGATTCATTCCTTTCGGATTGACCGTTTTCATGCGCGCATTTGCATAGAATTTTAAAAAACTCGTCGGTACGCCGCCAAAAATCGGTGCCCGCGTACTTGAGAAATCAAAGATAATTTTTACCATGGCCTTAGCAACGATTGTTAGCACCCGCTAGTTGTATGTTCCCTCAATTTTATCATTTCTTCCTTACAAATCACGTGATTGTACCTTTCAGTGACTGTCACTAAGTTGTTGCTCCTTGGTTGTTCTATACTATAGTATAAAAGTTCATTCGTGTTGCATTGTTCATTAACCCATTACTGGCATTAGCTTAACGGTACAACAACGATTCCTTGAGTAGGCTGAGGAAGATTGTGCCTGAAGAGCACCACTTATATTATACTGCTCTCCAGGCACAGACATCACCAGGGATACAAACTTACAGAGACGCTCCGTTGACTGACTCAACTGATGAGGGGTGAATTCCCCGAAACACTGTGTATTGAGCGGGGAGTGGTGCTTTCTTGCAGCCTGCAGGTTTGCCGAGTGGACGGTTCGATGGACTTCTTCCTACTAGTACTATCGCCGAAGTCGCACCAACCTCTTTTTCACATTATTACTGGTATTTATTCATATTCAATAGGGCAGTCCCCACCGACTCAAGGTCTTCTTACGGGGTACCCTAAGAATGAAAGTAATGCATGGCGAAATAGGGATGATGCAGCAGTGCGGATATCAGATGGAGCGCTATTCCATCTGTCTGCAGCCAAATAAGCAAGAGAAAACAGACGGTAGCGTGAATGGTTACCGCCAAGAGGACATAACCCCCACCCCCTGGGGTTATGTACTCTTGTTACTACGAAGCAGGGATTGGCCAAATGCTAGCAATGACTTGGCAACAGGCACGTGTCTTGATGGCATGTTTGGGGTTCACAGCTCGGGATTCAGTTTTGACTTTTCTCATACTTCAGTACTCTCCGGCGCACTCAGAAGAACTAAGATGGACGAGCGCAGAAGAAGCTATCTCCTCACTCGTCAAAACAAAAATGCCGTCACGATTTATTGAAAGAAGTGGTATAGTTGGTGGTACGAGTGTTCAAAACCATTTGAATTTCATACTGTTCGTCTTGTTTTTGACATGCTCTCTTTCCATCATCCTTAGCTTTTGTTTGTTGTGAGCTGTTTTGGCTTTCTCCTATACCTCAGAGGCTCTGGGGGATGCCAAGTGATGGTTTTGAGAGGCTGGTGATGGCTGTGAGCGAGAGTTTTGCCGATCGGCGTCGTCCTCGCTATAGCGATGAAAATACTAGTTACTGCGCACCTGGCAGTTATCACAACCCGTCGGAGCGTCCAGGAGCAAAGGAATCTTGGGTTTTCACTGGAATCTAGTTCCTCCAGCATCGTGTAGCCCACCGTCGGTGAATGGCCCTCCAGAAAGGTTGAACCTGGTCTTCTGCAGCATCACGCAGTCCTGCGAGGCACACCGTGTACGCCTGCTATGTATTGTCCAAATATAACTCATGCAGTAGTGGACTCCACAGTGATGAGTCTCAGCCTGTATGCTGCAAAAGACACAGGAAATGTGACTGGTGTCTGTACACTGGACGCCAACACCCCAGTCTTCTCCTGCACGATCTGGTTGACATTGACGCCATCTTGTTTTAACACGCATACGGTCCACTACCCTACCAGTATCACCTTTTGCAGGTAGATCTTCCCTTCTGGCGCCATTACATGGCCTAGTCTAGCGCCTGAATCGGCCTGATCCTTCACTGGGCTCACTGTTTCCGAACACAGTGTCCTCCACCTTGTTTCATGCTGTCAATCTAACAATATGTGTGGACTATAACAAGGTTTATCTAATACTAGTTTTGAACTAGTATTGGGTTATATAATACCAATCCCTGACGACACTGCATTACAAGCGGTGAATTCAAGTACTGCTTTGAGCCGAAATCTGACTTTGGGGCTCATAATATGGCCGAATTTGGACATTCCCTTAGCCGATCGCAAAGCCGATTAGGTGAAAAAATCGGGCCGATTTGGGAAATGCCTTCTCGTGCACACATTTCTTTAGCCTGCTCAAGTTAGTTAGTTGAACTAATGAGGGGTGAGTTCTAGAAGACACTGTGTATCGATCAGGGAGTCCGGAGTGGTGCTGTCTTGCAGGTTTGCTAAGTGGAAGGCTGGATGGACTTCTGGAGTGCTCTCAGGGGTGGCTGTCGTGAGTCAGTCAAGTGTCAAGTCGGCAGGAAAATTCGCGAGCTCCCATGTAGGGAGCGACACACAATTCTTCCGAATATTGTCTGTCCTTATACCCGCTCAGGATGGAAACACTCCTTCGCAGAACCCAACTATTTCCGCAAAGGATGCAAATCATACTTCGAAGTACAAGACACATTAGCGGACCAGTCTAAAGCAATTTTATTAAAGGTCAGCTACAGCTAGCATGGCTGCAGCTGCAAGCCAAGTGTCGCTACTACCAGCATCAGGAAACAGCACCAGTGTGACTTTGCTTTTGCCTCAGTGTGTGGGTGCATAGCAAACCACGCATGTCGTACGCAGGTGTACGCCCCCATTAGCCAATCCAGTCAGTTTCACTGGCTACATCACCTTGCTGTGAGTAAGATCGCTTGAAATGTGCTTGTATTCATACAAAACCTGGATCCAAGCGGATCCAGTTTTGAATTTTTCAAATTAATTGTTGCTATGCTGTGACGTAGCACTTTCAAGCCCTATTGATTATAAGCGACTAACTCTACAACCAAGAGTATATAACCCCCCAGGGGGTTATACACTCTTGCTACAAGTACAACTTTGGTATAATATAACCCAATACTAGTTCAGAACTAGTAGTATTAGATAAACCTTGTTATAGTTCACACATATTGTTAGATTGACAGCATGAAACAAGGTGGAGGACACTGTGTTCGGAAACAGTGACCTTACTACAACCTTCCGCGGTTGGTAGAGCCCCGGTCCCACCGCGGAAGGCTGAAGTAAGGTCACTGTTTTCGAACACAGTGTCCTCCACCTTGTTTCATGCTGTCAATCTAACAATTGCGTCATGTACAACCTTACACCAGTTACAGGTCATCAGTCTGACATCAGTTTTCACGGAGACCGCTAGTAAGTGTAGTAGACTATCGCCTCGGCATGACGGCTGGCGTGCAGCGGAGTAGAGGATCGAGGAGCGAGTAGCTGTTATCGAACACGGCTGCAACTATTTTGTATTTGTATTTGTATTTATATCATTATCTCATGGCACATCATGATGACGGCCAATAAAACTGAGACAAGGGTGAAAGCCAACCACAGCAGTAAAACAGATAAAAGAATACAAATAAGAGGCACAGAAGGCAAAGGAGGAGACAAACCAGCAGGATATACATGAAAACTATAATTGAGCAGAGATTTTAGCACTACCGGTAACTGTTAATTCTGCGTCATCCATCCCACTACAAAATCATTGTACTGTATAAGTATACAATAGTAGTAATACTAACACTATGCCAAAGCCGCCGCGGACTGGGTTCAAGGGAGTACGCAACGAGTGCCGCTCCGGAAACAGGAACGTTATCTTGGGAAGTTGAGATGCGTCGTCCATCCCACAAATTGGTGTTGTGAACAAAACCGTTCTCAAGTCAAGGCATTTACGTACTCCCTTGAACCCAGTCCGCGGCTTTGGCATAGTGTTAGTTTTGTTACACAATCATGTAGATTGAGTGTACTAGTACCATGTAGTGGGATGGATGACGCGGAAGTTGTAGCCCTGTTCGACAACAGCTGTAAACAGCTGCTCGCTCCTCGATCCTCTACTCTAGTACTACTACTGTCGTGGTCCCTCGGGTACATGGAAATCCGGGG